CCGTACCGTTCATAAAGCTCCTCCATCGAGGGGAAGTTATCAAGAACAGACATATGGATGTTCACGTTTTGGAAAAACAAAAAAAATAAAAATAAAAATTGGGGAAACAGGCTTGCTTTAAGAGGACTGAAAGTGTGCGAGATAATTGATGGCTGGCTCGCTGCCGCCCAGTCGTGCTGGCGCAGAAGCCGGATTGGTATACTCAGAAGCTGGATGACTTGACGAGTATATCCATATAATCCATATAATTTAAAGCGGTCGCACCCAAGTCGCACCCAAAACCACCCAAAACGGTAACTTGCAGCCGGGCCGCGGCATCAACCGACGAATACTACCCATGGTACAACACCTTTTCCGGCGTGGCCTTGTCCCGAGACTTTGTCCCGAGACTTTAAAGTAAAGTCCAGCACAGAGCCACACACCCGGTCCGATCCAGCATCCAGCAGTGTATATATCGCGGGTGGCCTAACTGACTCTCGATAATTACCTCTACTCCACATTTATTAGATATCTATACTAGGTTTGGAAACGTGTTTATCTGCTTCTTCAAGCGCCTGCAATACATAGGTCCAGAATAATTCGATATTCACTTCCATGGCTATATAAATTCCGTTTACCTCTTCTTCACTTTTATCCAATTCATTCCGGCATATTTGGGTCTCACCTTCATGTTTTCCTTCTTCGACGACATCTACATGCCTTTTCAAGTATACAAAATTGGTATCATCTTCCATGTTATCAAGCTTGTTATTTAATGCTAAAATAAGGAAAACAGCTAACGGATCGTGTACAGGTGGTCCTTCGGTAAAACCTTGATTAATACGATATGCATCGGCAAAGAACATTATAGTGTCGTGAAAAAGTTTTCGGAGTGGTGAGCTATTGGTTCCGTCTTTACCACTAAGTATTTCGTTCCTAACGGTCTCAGTTGCAATAGCCGTGTGCGTAATATTTAACGGAGCCAATATTGTCTTGCCCGATAAATCTGTATCCGTCATCACGTGCCTTGCTGCATGTGGATCGCAAATGATGTTGAATTCTGCATATTCAGTTGAGTTTCCTATATTTATTCCACCTCCCATAATCGAAATGAAACGAATCTTTGATTTCAATTCTGGGTACGTTTTTATGAGGGTTGACATATTGGTCAACGAACCGGTACATACAAAGCATATACGACCCTGGTATTCTAAGATAGCTTTTCTCATCGCCTCCGAATATGTCTGGTCCTTCGACTCTTTTATCCTTGGTGTCGCAGGTATGCCAACCCCACCAAGTCCTGTTGGTCCGTGGATTTCTGGTGAATATTCCGGAACTTTAACCATTGGTTTTACCTCCCCAGAATATACTTTTACTTCGTCTTGTTTCAAACCTAATACATCTAACAACCCTAACGTATTGTGGGTCGTATTGGAGCATGAAGCGTTCCCATATACTGTTGATATGCCAATTAACTTAAACTTCGGGTGGAACGCAGCCAATAAAATTGCAAATGCATCATCATGACCAGGGTCACAATCAAGCCACACCGGGATTGTATCCTCTGTTGTCATCTTGGCTTTGGTTTTGGTTATTCTAAAATGAGCTAGAAAAGAATTAAGTTTTAATTTATATCTCGAGAACTTATCGCGGGGTTACGGAGAAGTGGGGTTATTTTCACTGACCTGGTTATGCAGACTTTTTCTGTTCGTAATTAGGAAATAGGAATGCGTGCGGCTAGAGGACTTTACCCGACACTATCTTACAAGTAATAAAATCCGAGTCAATTTTTAAGTTGACCGTCGCTTAAAATTCAAGACTTCCGAGATTCTATCCTTATCGTTCATCATTACGAAAGTATTCACCGCCGGTAGAAATCAGAGTCTATTGTGAAATCGAAGATAATATTAACAATTAAACTGATTGGCGATCATTCACATTTTCCTATTGCGCCACGCAATTATAAAATTATTTTAGAAGATGGGCAATTTGAGAGCACAGGACATATAGGTGCACTGAACCTATTTTCAATAAATTTGGAGTCAAGACAAAATGATGGGTTAGAATACTAAGTAAATGGGCGATTTACAGAATCATACAGAACCCGGTTATAAAGAAATTCTAAGTGGTGCTTACGAGGTGCAGATATTTCACATTGTTTTAAATCATGATTTTCTTAATTTGCAAGATAATTAAATAGGAACGCCAAATCTCATACACATAAGCTAATACATTCCCAATTTTTTAAAACTAATTTAGTCCACCTTTGTAAGGCCAAAAACTTACAAACCCGATTGCAACGGGTCATAGACCATAGCTTTTCTTCAAAAAGTAAAGATATACCTTTATCATTTAATTACTCTGAACCAATTGTTTTACTAATGTCTAGGCAGATAATTGTTGGCAAAATAATACTGCTATGCAGGATGGTAAATATTTTTCAGACCAAATATCTCCCCTATTTTGCACACCTGGAATTATATATACATCGACTACGTTTTTATAAGTATTTTGTTGACAATATATATCTGGAAACATGATCAGACGATTTTTCAGTGTTAATTCCATTCGAAACTTATCGAGTGCGGAGTCTTTGGTGGAAAGAGCAAAGAAAGTAGCAGCCTACAAAGCTGTGGATGAAAATTTTCCTACAGGTAATAATATTGTTGGAATAGGATCAGGTACAACAGTCATATATGCTACTGAGAGAATAGGAAAATTGAAGGACAAGGAGTCATTTGTCTGCATCCCAACCGGGTTCCAAGCTAAGCAGTTGATTATTGACAATGGATTGAGGTTGGGATCGATTGAACAATACCCAGAGGTGGATGTATCGTTTGATGGGGCAGACGAGGTGGATACGAAGTTAAACTTGATCAAAGGTGGTGGCGGGTGTCTTTTCCAGGAAAAATTAGTGGCATCCGCGTCCAAGAAGTTTGTAGTAATGGCTGACTTCCGTAAGAGATCGCTGTCAAATTTAGGAATACAATGGAGAAAGGGCGTACCTATTGAGGTCGTACCAATTGCGTACAATAAAGTGATAAGCGACTTAAAAACTATGGGAGTGAGGGAGGTCAACTTGCGGCAGGGAGGTTCAGCCAAGGCGGGACCCGTGGTGACCGACAACAACAATTTTTTGATCGACGCTGATTTCGGCGACATTTCAGATCCTGCGAAATTACACGCTGATATCAAAAATTTGGTGGGCGTCGTGGAAACTGGGTTGTTTGTGCAAATGACCGACAAAGCATATTTCGGTGAACAGTCGGGAGAAATCAAATGCTGGCATAAGTGATGTGCACATTCAACAAGTGACGATTTCATTTGTTCTCAAATACTTGGTATAAATTAAGCTTTATGTTTATTAAATGACAAATTAGTATTCAAATATGTAGTCAATTAGTATAAATGTCCGCTTCCATAAAACTGAGACCTTTTGGGAAAAGAAAAATTTAATGTTTGTGGCAGAATTCAAACTTTGTTATAAAGGACTGTAGAAAGTGTTTGAATGTGCTCGAGCGTATAACGTTAACACATTTAACAACTCATTCATAAATATCCGGCTTTAAGTGCTCTATTAATTAGTCGAATAAAGTTTTCGTATAAAATTCTTTTTCTTATTAGATTAATTAATTTGTCATGAGGAATAGTATCAAAACAGTTTTCGGCGCTACCAATTGTAGGGAAACTGGGGACAAATATGGTAATTGTTATATCTCTACTACTTTATATCTATGTTCGATTGACCTTATAGAACGTTAACTAACTTACTTTGTTACTCTTGGCTAACTAACTAACTTGAACTACCCGTTATTAGTTCCTAATTCCTTTCCTTTTTATTCTGAAATCTACTGATTGATCTGCTCAATTTATACACCAAGTCTTGCAACTCTGATGTATACCATTTGCAACACTTCATATATATACTGTGCATATGTATACTTGTGTTCTCTTACGCTAGGTTTAAATTGGAAATAGATAAAACCACTCATTCATGAAAACGATGTTCACTCTTGTGAATGTTTTCTCTTTAACTGTCCTGCATGACTTCAACAAGTTATGGATCAGCTTCTCCATTTATTTATCATGACTATTTTTCTCGTTTGCGTTATTCGCATGCAAATTTTCACGGTCCCCTTCATAACCCCGTAATTGCTACTTTATATCAAGTATGACATTACAATTTTATCATTTATCATTCGTACCTATTTAGCAAAAAACACTTCGCCGGGTTCCTGTGTTGTTTACAGATTATGTTAACCTATTTAACACTATGCAACACTAGACATTTCTTAATGCGAACAGATCAGAATTACCTGCTTCAGAATATAATCATCTTTGTAACAGGTCTCCTAGCATTTGATCTCGAAAAATTTTGATTGGCCGGCAACCGGTATAAGAACCAACGGTTTTCAATGAATATGTATTCCCAATCAGCGGGGATTGCGAAATTTACTTCGTGCAACTTCTTAATTACAAAATCGCACGCTTTTACCATTTCTGTCAACTAGTAGATAGAACGACAGAGATGAAAATTTTCCACCTTAATGTGCAGTGCTTTCTCTCATATTCAAAGCAACCATAAATTGGATCCGAATGTTATGTTTTACAAACCAACATTGCAGGTTTATTCCATCATAAAATGGTTTCAATATATCAAAAATACAGTCAGTTGATCGCCAAGCGTCCACTTGTAACTAATATCATCACAACAGGATTTCTCTTCGGGTCTGGTGATTATTTGGCACAGAAGTTGTACCCTTCGTCCAACAAATATGACTACAAAAGAACATTAAGAGCAACTTTCTACGGATCAATCATATTTGCTCCAATTGGTGATAAATGGTATAGGTTCCTTCATAAAATCAATTTTCCTTTTCCAAAGACTAAGGTATCCCCATCAGCTAACAAAGTGTTGAATACACTAAGCAAAGTTGGAGCAGACCAATTGGTATTTGCCCCATTTTTAGGTATTCCGTTATATTATTCGGTGATGGCGATATTGGAGTTCAATGAAAATCCATTGCAGGTTGCTCGTGACAAATTACAAGCGCATTGGTTTAGCACTCTCAAGACTAATTGGGTAGTATGGCCTGCTCTACAGCTATTCAATTTCGCCTTGATCCCAGTTCAATTCAGGCTATTTGTCGTTAATGTTTTCAGCATTGGATGGAACTGCTATTTAAGTTCCGTTCTTAATCATAAACATAATTCCATGATTGAAAATGTAACGGATGTCGATAAAGATGAAATTTTAATCTAAAAAGTAAGGTTTATTTAAAATCCAATGGCTGGTTAGACGAGTTATATTAATACAAAACATGATCTAAGAATACCGAATTAGAATTTATGTAGAACTAATGTTGAGCGATAACTGCCTACGATAACGTGTAGCCGTGTAATAGTAATGAATTCGTGACCCTCATAAAATAGTCACATTAAGTGGAAACCATATACTACAAACATTGGCACAGATTCTCTCGACCTACATATTGAAGTTTAATTACATTGGATATCATCGTACTAGTCAATTTGAAAAATTTGAATTTCTTGTAACATACTTGTGATTTTGCTGTGACATCCATATTTGGGATTGACATTCTCCAAATTCCAAGTTGATGTAAATCCAAAATCAGAGCAACCGTTCGCGTTTTATGTTAATCAATTTTTAATTCAACACATTATCTAATTCCTAACCTGAGCATGTTTTATATATTGCTATCTACATTCATAGTTATGGCTCATGGCATATTAATCTGAATTTTGTTAATACGATATCGCATATATTATATGCAATATATGTAAATGTAGTAGGCAGTAATATTTCGGCTTTAAGCAGACCTGAAATTCACAGAGCTTTCAAAATTCTGGCCGTCCTTTAATGAAAACTTGTCAAAAAAAACGTGAAACTTGTCATTTTACCCTTGCATTATAATTTACATGTCACTTCTACAATTTAACTACAATTTAACTTCCCTACACATCTACAATAACAAATTTTGCCTGAATCTTGTAACGTTTCTTAGCTATAAATCATTTAAGCTAAGTTCTTGATTTTGGAGCTGACAGCCATATTACTCTGCAAGGACAAACCACTGGCAATTTGTGCTTTATATATGGATTCCCATTTCGACAGTTCTTGTTCTGGGTACTGTATCTCTGACGCTAACCACAGTTTATCATGGTTTCTGCTGTTAGATACCAGCAACCTAGCAAGTAGATACCCTAAAAGAGAATCACCGGCACCAGTGACATTCTCGACAACCAAGTCTACATTTTCAGACGGAATCGGGAAATACTGGATAACGATACCCATCCTTTTCGATTCATCACTTATGCCTTGGCGCGAGCATCCCGTGGACGTAACGACAAATTCAGGGCCATATTGCGATGTTGCAGGATTAGAAATATCATCATCAACGTTTGTCGACAACTTGATGTATAGCGCCCCTCTCGATCCTAATTTAAGCAAAATGTTCGGCAAAAATGGCAATAATTGAAAGCATTGTAACAAACACCCGTCATCTAGTACATCTTGTACAATTTTATTTTTGGATCCCATCATACTTAATTTCTCTTGAAACTTAGAGTCGAAACCAATCGAATCAAGTACAGAACGACATTTATAGTTATTAAAATGCCCAACAGAACTGAACGATGAATAGATTGACTTTAACTCAGCTATAGTCGGAGTAATCAACAGGATCGTGTTATTGGGGAATACCTTAAGCGCTTCGGTATTCATTTGACTGATTCTCTTAGACTTGGGGGATGATGTAGGCTCGACTATGACATTGGCCTGCGGTAAATGCTCACGAATAAATTCCAACGCATTACTCATGACGTTGGACGAAATATTGCAATCGAACACAATATTCTGCGGTTGCGCTCTTCGCAATTGTTCCTTGACATGTTCGGCAAACGAATCTGATTCGATAAGAGACATATCTGCGCAAGCAAGGATTAAATCACCCTTTGTGTCATGCATAGAAATATATTGCGCTGTTGAATGATCTTCAATTTCGGATACTTGTATTCCAGAAGTATCTGTGTCGTTAGCATTCAACTGTTTGATTAAGGATTTCCCTGCAAAATCATTGGCCACGACAGACACAAGCCTAGAACTAGATGTTCCGTTACCAGCTTTAGAGAGTGCCTCTAATCCATACTTGCACGCCAAAGAAATATTATAAGCAACTCCCCCTATACATGACTCAACATGGCCTGGATTAGAATCTCTCGCAGTTATTTCCGACTCTAAAAATCTACTGCCCGTATCTAGAGCTGTAGAACCAACAATTACTGTGCCTACACAATCCGGTACAGCAGGTGTAGCTTGCATGTCACTTACATTGGAAAATATTGCTGGAGAAAAAATAGATGCGTTTTTTCGGTCATTATTCTAAATATTAATTAGTACAAATTCCATAACAAAACATCAAACTTAAAGACATACTTTAGAATTTTCTTCTTTCTCTAACACGAGCAAATTCTTAGCAATTTCGGCGGCACATTTTGCATTATTGTAGACAAAATCAATGTTGCATTGTACTGATTTACCTTTAGTAGCCTCAGCAATCCGGGACAACAAGAACGGAGTAGATTCTTTTCCACGGATGCCCTTAAGTTTTGCTTCTTCATTGGCATTATTGATAATATTGGTAATAAAATCTGAGGATAACGCTGATTCTTGGGGAGGAGGAACACAGAAGACACTTCCCGAACTTAACGACATTAGGTTGTTCTGCTGATGAATGATACTAGCTGCTTCCTCGAATGAGTTAAAGGAATACGGTGATTTGATGCCTGATTCACGGCAATAGAAACCTGGAATTTCGATCAGTTCTCTTTTATCATCATTGTAAGTTCCTACAAATACACCTAGTGTTTCCAAATATTCCATAGTTAATCCAATATCTAAAATTGATTTGGGACCGGCACAAACAACCGCCACCGGCGTTTGGCCTAATTCATTCAAATCAGCAGAAACATCCATAGTAAATTGGCCATCTCTATGGACACCACCTAATCCACCGGTGGCAAACACTTTTATTCCCGCTAAATGGGACAAAATCATTGTCCCCGATATAGTAGTTCCACCATCAATGCCTTGAGCCATAGTGTAACCAATGTCACGACGCGAAACTTTAACTCTTCTTCTGTTGCTAGATTGATCGCTTAATCGTTCAAGTTGCAGCCTTGTCAATCCAATATTAGGTTGGCCATCAATAAAAGCACAGGTTGCTGGGATTGCTCCGTTGTCTCTAATAATCTTCTCTGTTTCAGTCGCCATGACCATATTTTGCGGATATGGCAAACCATGCGTGATTATAGTAGACTCCAATGAGACAACTGGCTTGGATTTATCATTTAATGCCTGTTGAACTTCTTCTGATATCCTCAATGGCCATGCCAAATTATTCTTCACTTTAGAATTAGAGAATAATCTTCTACTGATCCAAGTTCTTGCAACTCTCATAGTTAATAAAGTTCGCGATAAAATAGCCGGGGTCTCGATACCTCATGTGCTGTTTACCGGTTATTTATAATCTCGAGGAGTTATGTGGTAGTGGGGTCCTTTTCTCGAACTTTGTTATGCAGACTTTTTTTGTTCGTAATTGGGAATGCGTAACGGTAGGGAAGAGACCAAAAATTTTACTATTACACCAAAACGCAAAATTACTCCACAAATATGAGGGGCAATCGGTAAGTTAACAATAGGCGCAAAGCCTGCAGCAGTTCATTACTTCAGTTTAGCCTTCGTTTACCATTCATAACTTCCGAGATTCTATCCCTATCACTTCCTTACTCATTACGCAAATATTGACGACTAATATATATCTGTCCAAGCGGATAATATTGACAATTAAAGTGGTGGGGCAAGTCATTTATATTATTATCGTGGTTTTTCGAAATTTTAAAGTTCAGCATGGATTTCCTCAAAATTTTTCACCCATAATATAATCATTAGCTTATATGTTACATTATTAATTAAGTTTGTCGGGAGTTTCGACGAGCTGTAAAGTTTTAGTAACAGATAGATTTTTAACCGATTTAAACGACAAGTCTTCATAAAAATTGTACTTATGTATTTTTTTGCACACAGAACTTCAACAAGTTGCTTGTGTTGTGTGAAAACAGCCTCGTCTAACAAAATTCGTATTTTCAAATAAATCGCACCATGTTGTGGCATACATTTTTCGTTAAGGAATGTGTGATAACTTCTAGTACCCGTATATATTACTAGCAATAATATAACAAAATTCCAACTTTATCACACTTCAAATCGCGATCTATAATATCAGATTACAAACTCTACATAAGTATCAAAAGTGAATTAATGATAATTCATTATAGTTAATACATGATTGAAATTCATATCTATTTTATTAACGCGTAAACAAAATAAAATCACACCTAAAACCAGTTTATATCAGCGCTCGTATTTTGCATCGTATTCGCACCAACTTCGTTTTACTGTATCGACTCAGTATGCTTGGTTTCCACTTTGATATTTAGTTCTTCCGTAGATATTACAGGAACAAGCGGTGTCCACGATGCAGACTTCCAAGCAGGGATTCCGTCGTCCCATATTTGTCCAATTTCTTCCAATCTCTTACCTTTGGTTTCCGGGTAGGAAAGAAATACATGAATGGACATACATCCACATAACACACCAAAAATGATGTACGTCTTCCACGAAATATTCCTAAACGCGGATGGCGTGAACATAGCGATTGCAAAATTCATACTCCAATTGCCGACATTAGTTAATGCATTACCTCTCTGTCTTGAAATGTTGTCTCCCCATACCTCCGCGCAGTAAGTCCATAAACACACACCCCAGCTAGGTGCAAAAGCGACAATAAATAAGTAGCAGCTGGCGATTACTGCTTTGGCGGCTGGCTTTTCATCCTCTGGGATTCGCAATCTTACCGTGTCATTACCGCGGACTTCATCTACTGACTTTCCGTATGTCGCTAAAACTCCACCAATAACGAACTGCCATATCATCATAAGCAATGCACCAACCAATAATATTGGCCTTCTACCAATTTTATCAATTAAATATAATGCAGGTAACGTCATAACAAAGTTTAAAACATATTGAATCGAAGAGGCTACTAAGTTTGAATCACCGCTGTAACCCGCCATATCGAAAATATAAACAATATAATACATCAAAGTGTTTATACCAGTAAGGTTTTGCCAGACTTGAGCAGAGATTGCAGTAAATGTTCGTAGAATATACTTCTTCGAAAACAATTGAAGGTACGTAAATGATTTTGCATTCTCAACCATCATTAATTGTTCCTTGATTTCAGATATTTCGACTATAACATCCGGGTCTTCTTTGTTACCCTTGGCTAAAACGTTGGCAATGATAACCTCAGCCTCATCCCAACAATTTTGTCTAGCTAACCATCTAGGTGATTCGGGAATGAAAAAACATCCAATAAACAAACAAAGCCCTGGAACAATTTGCAAGCCCCACGCTATCCTGAAAGAAGCCGTACTATCGATATGACCCAAACCAAAACAGATATAGAACATAACCAATATTCCAGTGCATATCGACAACTGGAATAATCCACCAATTAGACCTCTAGTATTTCTTGGGGCTAACTCAGAACCATAGACAGGAGCCACAGATGAGCCAAATCCCACGCCAAACCCGGAAATAATGCGACCTAAAATCAATTGAACTCGATTTTGCGATGATGATTGTATCGCTGCTCCAACACACCAGAAGAAAGCACAAAGCATCAACGACGCTCTTCTACCAAATGGTTCCGACACAAACGATGATGAGATGGAACCAAAAATAGACCCAAACGCCATCGCCGAAGTTATAAAACTTTGAATCGTTGTTCCAGGCGTGTCAAAGAATTCAAGGTAGTTTTTATTGTTAAGAAATGCTGACATCGAAGATATATCAACACCGAACATCAAACCAGATATACATGAAAGAGACGCAATAACATATACGTTGGTTATATTTGGAAACTTGTCTAAAAATAACCTGAACTTTAAAGCAGGTTCTGTCAATCTTTCCTCAAATCCCATTATATGATAATGCTGTACGAATCCGCGGCTAATGTTTATTCATTTTAAACAATTTGCGTGCGATTTGACTGCAATTTATGATCTCCATTAATTTTCGTCGGTACACAACTACATTCCAAATTTCTTTTAGTTTTATGCAGAAAACAAATGTCTGCATTCGTTGGTTCCAGTGATCGTTTTTTGGGATTAATTTTGCGGGGTACATCCCCTGTATCGTTTTAATCTTATTTTATCCCAGTATCCCAGAGGCCAAATAGAAGGTGGAGATATGGATAAAATCTCGGAATCTGCATTATAGGCGAGACCATATATGATTATAGCGGCATTATCAAAATTTTTTTTAGTCAAATTGAGGTATAAGATGGTTATATTTCGTTGCGAAGCAATTTCATGTCTTGTCGATAAGTGGATGAATTTCGCACGCTTCTCAAATCTCAAAGTTAAATTGATAATTCGTTTACGCTCGAAACTCTAAGGTAATGTTAACATTTAGCGGAAGCAACATCATAAGAAATATTGGACGCCTGTTCAAATTGGTCCGTCTATTTTCGCAAGTTCCAGACATTGCGTTTGTACTCGATATCGATGGGGTTCTACTTCGCGGTTCTAAGGCATTACCAACTGCAAAACCAGCCCTAGATTTGTTGAATAAATGTAATGTGCCATACATTTTAATGACAAACGGGGGAGGAGTTACAGAAAGTGATAGGGTTAAATTTTTGTCGAAAAAAATCGATGTTCCTATTTCACCATTACAGATTGTTCAGAGCCATACTCCGATGAAGGTATTCGCCAATAATGACCGAAATGATAGAATGTTGGTAGTGGGGGGAAATGGGGATAACAGTAGGAAATGTGCAATGGAATATGGGTTTACGGATGTCGTTATGCCTATCGACATTGTCAAAGCGGAACCATCGATCTCACCGTTCCATAATTACACACCTAGAGATTTTGCCGATCATGCGCTAGATATGAATCAAATTAAGTTGGACAAGGCAATAGAAAAAATATTAGTTTTTAATGATTCCCGAGACTTGAGCAGTGATTGTCAGATAATTCTAGATCTATTAAACTCGAAAGATGGGATCATTGGAACATCGAGAAACGGCAATAAAATAAACGATTTACAAGTTCCATCAGTTCCGATAGTCTTCAGTAACAGTGATTTTATATGGGCCAATGATTACAAACTTCCAAGGTTTGGACAAGGCGCTTTGTGCACAATGATCGAAAGCTTGTACAAGGAGACAAACAACCTTAAAGGTAATGAGGAGTTGCTATCAAAGAAGCTTGGAAAACCATTTAAAGTTCAGTATGATTTTGCCCATCACGTGTTGATTGACTGGAGAAACAAAATACTACAAAAGAAAACGAATGAATTAGAGCAGGTTCTACCAAGTTTGAATGAAGAGCCGAAAAATTCTCCATTCAAGAAGATCTATATGGTTGGTGATAATCCTGCGTCAGATATTAAAGGGGCAAACGATCACGGCTGGGAGTCTTTATTGTTAAGGACAGGTGTCTATAAAGACGACGATTGGAACTCAATAGTTGCTAAACCAACCTGCGGCGTACACGACAATATATTAGAATCTGTTAAATATGCATTGCACGAAAACAAAATCATATAGACGTTCAATGTATATATAATATTTCATAGTTTTTGATCAAAAGATTATTTAATCTCAATAAGCTTCCAAAGTCTCTATTTTAATTGTAGAAACCTACATTCTACTGGTATATTGCCACCCATAGATGATATTTCCTAACCAGAATGGTTTAAATGTATATCGTTTCTTATCGGAAGTACGTCCATAGTCATAAGAGCACTTCGCGCAAATCACTGTGACTGCGATTTGTCGCTTTAGCTTGCATCTTTCGCCCAAAGCTGATTTCCTTGATTGAGGTGGTGGTTTGCACTGAAAAAACTTGAGCATCTATTGAATATTTGCAAATAGATATTTGGAACAAATTTCTTCCACATTTCCGACACTTACAAGTATAGATTGATCAATTTTTTTGGATCACTTGACGAATAATCTCCCTCCTGGATTCTGCAACTATCCACGAGTATTGTTTCGTAACCTGTTCCTCTACATGTTTCCCTTCTTTTGGTTTAAATATTGTAGTTGCAAATTAAATGAATATGAGGTTAATTATATATTCTTTCAGTAATTCATCCATTTTATTAGAAAGATGGATCTCTAGGGATATAATGAAACGTAATAAACCTATTAATTGGCTATATAATTAATTTAAAAAGATATAAATAATCGTCTATTATTAATCGTACATAATGTTTGCTGTTTTGAAATTTATTTTTCTTCCATATCTATTATTTGAAACTACATTATCAAGAGTTGTTTTTATTTTTTTGGCGGTTTTCTAAATTATGACATAGCCAGCCATTTTTAAGTCAGCGAGGAACCATTTCGTTAGTCTTTCAATATTCGTTCGTTTAACCTTTCTCGTCTTCTTCTGCTGCCATCAACCCACCTGTAACCTCAGGTAACCGCTTATTTGTTGTGAATATGCAGCCGATAAATCCTACCGCAGAAAACCCGAGAGACATGTAAAATACATTCCTAATGGCTTCCATAACTTGGCCTTTGACAAACTGTTGAGCTCCAGGTGATAATGTTTCAATCGCATCTGTTGATGCTATTAATTCTCTTTCATTAATCTGATTTAATTCAGACAAAATCCGCTCATCACTTATTTTGGATAATGCGGTCACATATTTATTTTGAAATGAAGCTGAATATACTGCATCAGCCAAATCTGCACCAATTGTACCTCCTACGGCTCTACCGAAATTTACAAATGTTGTAGTTAAAATAGTACCACCGGCTGTCTTTGGTGCTGAAATCTGGGAGGAAATCAATGCAGCCTGCATTTGGAAACCACAAGAAATACCTGAAATAATCAATAAACCAATCTGTCTGGGTTGAGAAGAATCAACATCTAATAAACAAAGGAGACCTATTCCGACTGGACCCAAAATTGCACCAAATAAGCCAAATGGCTTAACAAATCTAGATTTGTGAATGAGGATGCCATTTAAAATGGATGTAAGTGCCACAGGGATAATAATAGGAAGCAAATGTATACCGGAGTGCCATGCATCAGCACCATGAATAACTTGGAAGTAAATTGATACATACAACACAATTGCCATGAAATAACCAAACATCCCAAATATCATAAGAGCTGATGCATCTACCCCCAAGGATTTCACGACATCAGGAGGGATAAGTGGATTCTTTGAATATTTGAAATTCCAAATGCAGAATACGATTAATACTGCCCCACCTAAAACAAAACAACAAATGACTGCAGCAGAATCCCAAGAAAATTGATCGCCAGCACCAAAAGTTAAAGCTAAAAGGAAAACAACTAAACCTGCCGATAAAAGTGCGGTACCTAAATAATCAATCATTTTGAGCTTTTCCCTCATACTACCATTAGTCTTTGGAGGGTTAAATGCCCAAAAGAAAAATGCTGCTGCAACCCCACCAATAGGCAAATTAATATAGAAACTCCATCTCCAAGAAACACTCGAAGTAAATGCACCACCTATAAGAGGGCCAAGCACGCTAGCTACAGCAAAGGTACATCCCATACCAGCCATACCAAGAGGTCTAACTTCTAAGGGAACAATCTCACTGATCAAAATAAAAACCATTGACTGAATACCTCCCCCGCCTATACCGGCGAGAACTCTACCCCCAATAAGCACATTCATGTCATTGGCTAATGCACACATCAACGAGCCGGCTTCAAAGAGACTAACTGCAATAAACATCGTTATCTTTCTTCCGAATATAATTGAAATCTTACCCCAAGTTGCAGCAAAAACAGCCATTGACAAAAGGAAACCTGCTGATAACCATCCAATTTTGTCAAATCCATTAAATTTATTCCCAACAACCGTAAGCAAAGTGGCAATAATAGTTTGATCCAATGCAACAAGGAAAAGACACAAAAATATTGCCGTAAAACATAATGCTAATCTTAGTCCATGTAGATACTGGTCTTCTCTTCTACTACCATCACCAGCGTCGCTTTCGATGAATTTTTTTTCTTTTCGGCCGTGTGTCTCTTCATGCTGAATGTTTCTCACTGCTAAGTCTTTTTCAGCAATATCTGTGCGGTTATTACTATCAAACGACTCGTCAGTCGGCGTCATATTGATTATTTCAAAAGGACCATATCAAAAGTTACAAAGGAAAAACTACTATTATAAGTAAACCTATAAAGCCGTGCGGAGGTACCCCGTATTTATTCCGCACCTAGAGTGGAGTAACATGCAGACCGGCGTCCGTCATGACAAAAAACGACAAATATGCAGGACGTTAGTTAATTTAGCTATCCTTGTGTGCGTTACGCTCCCACATAGACTTTTTTAATAGTCCTGTCACCCCCACTGCCTGTACTGATTTGGTGAAAACTTCTACTACCAAATCTTACCCTTGCTATTCTGAGTCGCAACTTTTGTCGAACATTTAAGCCTATCTGTCATGGTTCCTATAGCTTTCATATATATCTTGTGGTGCTATGCGATTATGTAATGAATTGGCAAAGTTAGTATTTCTACGACACGAATGACGAATGCTTTCTATTGAGTGGAGCATGCTTATATAAAATTTATCGTTTATCTTGTTTATTTACTTTTCAGAGTACCATGACGTCATGATACTATTAAATCAGAACAAATAAAAACCAATTTCCACTTTTAGTATGGCCTTAAACAGTTATCAAGTGATTGCGAGGTATAGTCTACGCTAATTCATACTTAATTGTACGTAAATTCTTTCCTCAATGCTTCGATGTCCTGCGTGTTAGCCCCTACATTGGCAACATCATTTTTCCACGAAGAATTAACAGCGTCCAAAAAATCATCATCATATAAAACTTCTAGGCCCGTCAACGATCATTTTGCAGACTTCAAACAGGCCGTATGTGATGCTTTAGTACCTGCGGTATCACGAAATTCAACAGTATGTGGTTGTCCATCTTCACCTATATCAAACATTGTGTGCAACGCCGGCACTTTCCACGAAACCGTACCTTGATCAGTGGAGCCAGGTAGCCCAAGTGCTTTCTCTTGATTTAGATCCAACAACTCACCAGCTCCATCAAGTTTAGAAAAGCCATCATAAAATTTTCTGAAGGAATCTGAGAGAGGTTCGTTGGTGAGCATATTATCATACTCATTCAAATAATTGATTTTGTACGCACAACCTGAAGCTATCGCAGGAGTTTTTGCGGAACCCACAACTTTTTTCTTCATTTCATTCATTCTAATTCTATCTTTGGATCTAACCATTCCTGCAATCATTGTATAATCAGGAATAACGTTTGGCGCAGAGCCACCATTAACGATAACAGAATGTATTCTATCGCGTTCTTCAAATTGTTGTCTATGTAATGCTGATACATGCATGTAAACAGAAGCTGCGTCCAACGCATTAATTCCTTCCCATGAAGCCGCTGCTGCATGGGCACTCTTACCAAAATACTCTATAGTATATTTGAAAGATGACATACTAGTTACAAAAGCCATTCCTGGACTTGTGCTTGTAGCGTGATGCATTAAAGAAATATCGACGTCGTCATAGCCGCCCGCCTCAACTATTTTGACCTTACCACCGCCGCCTTCTTCTGCAGGCGTGCCAAAAAGTTTAATTGTTCCCGCAATGTCAAATTTTTTCATTGCTTCAGCAGCTGCTAGTGCAGCCGCAATACCTCCAGTAGCTATAAGATTATGGCGACATGCATGTCCAATATCCGGCAACGCGTCATTTTCTCCATTGAAAGAAATCACTTTAGAGGAGATTTCTGGTTTGTATTGAAAAACCGCCAAAAATGATGTCGCTATTCCAAATGATGACTCTGTAACGTTCCAGTCACGTTTTGTCTTTAAATAATTTGTTAATTGAGCATGCGCCTTAAACTCCTATTATTTTTTAGTATGTTAATCTGGCTATTTTCCTGCTAGTTTCACACAACGTACTTCGTATTTCACCTCTGGGGGTTTGTGTATAAACTCATTAATTTCTTTAAAGAATTCTTCTGAATTTGAGTCAATGAAGCTTGAAACAAACTTTATAATTGCCGTTCTCTACCATTTTAATGTCTATTATTCAGGAACAATTTCCTGATCAGCACTAGTGAGGAATTTCAACCTTTCAAATGTTCATTACTTGAAGGTGATCATCGGAATGGTAGTGAATTCGTATGCGGCATAATATACCCCATGTTCTCCAACATAACCCTATTGATTTCCGCATTCAGACCAAACACCGAATTAAGCTCGGAATAGCTATTCTCGGCATTTACGGCTCTAAATTTAAAGAGTGGGGTTAGTTAAAGTTTAATACTTTTCGAAATGCTGTTCTGAAAAAGCACATTTGAAGTGTGATACCAGGAAGAGATACGAAAAGCGGAGTCTGTTACAATTTGTCCCGCTCTATCTTCTGTCGATTATATCTAAGTTCTCTACGACGATATGTTTTTGTATTTTAATTTCAAACACTCTATGAAGCTTGACTAATATCATCATGAATACGGATAAAAAAAATCAAGAAAGAAATGAGGTGATAAAAGAAGTTCAATCTAATGGAGATACCGAGAAAAATTTGACATCTGTTTGGTCACCTCAATCACGTAAGGAAGTTAACATAGATTTGAATGAATCTATGGAATATGCAGTAAACGGAGAGAAAATTGAGATAGATGCTGCAACAAATACACGAATTCTTCGTAAGATGGATATATGTTTATTACCCATTATGTGTTGCCTATATTGCTTTCAGTTTATTGACAAGACTGTTAACTCTATGGCATCTATTATGGGAATGAGAGAAGATTTGAAAATGACTGGTAATAAATACCCCTGGACAGGAACCGCATTTTATATTGGATACTTAGTTTTTGAATTTCCTGTATCTGCGTTGTTGTAAAGGTTGCCTGTTGCAAAAACAGTGTCAGTTTTCATTGTTATATGGGGCGTATTATTATGTTTACATTCAGTACCTCAATATGCTGGTTTTATCGCATTGCGTACGTTATTGGGGGCATTTGAGAGTGCCGTTACACCGGCGTTTGTCATTTTGACCAGCCAGTGGTATAAGAAAGAGGAGCAGTTTTTACTGACTGCCCTTTGGTTAAGTTGTAATGGTATGGGATCATTAATTGGCACTGGGGCTATTGCGTATAACCTTTATACTCATGCTGAGTCTTATCTGATGGAAGCATGGAAGTTGGTTTCATTATAACAGGTTGTTTAACAATCGCGTTAGGTTTTGCCATTATGTTTCATATCCCAGATATGCCAAACAAAGCATGGTTCTTAACCGAAGAAGAGAAGGTGCTTGTTGTTGAAAGAATCAGGTCTAATCAACAAGGATTTGGTAATAAACATTTCAAAAAAGAACAATTCATTGAAGCAATATGTGATGCTCAGACTTGGTTGATTTTTGCCTATAGCATTGTAAACACTATTCCCAATGGAGGTATAACGAATTTAGTAGTATTTTAATAAAGTCGATGGGTTATTCGTCTTCCGAAGCGCTATTGATGGGTATGCCACAAGGTGCAGTTATGACTGTCGGGTGTATCTTGTTTGCGTAGGTGTCTTTATCTATCCATATCGGTTATTCTGGGGAATATTCGGGAGTGTAATCAGTTTAATTGGGAGTTGCATGTTATCCTTCTGTGAACTGATAAAGGTTCAATACGCCGGGCTTTGTCTTTGGTCGTTTCAACCAATTGGTTTCATTTGTGTATTGTCTATTATTGCTTCCAATGTGGCTGGCCACACGAAGAAAATAACAACATCTACAATTAACCTAATAGCGTATTGCATTGGTAACTTGGTTGGCCCGCCGACGTTCATTGATAACCAAGCCCCCGGTTATGTAAGCGCTAAGATAGCTATAGTTGTATGCTGTTCATTAGCCATTGTAGCTCTTATTGCTATCTGGTTTTTATATGTATCACGTAATAGAAATCTTGAATGATGCCTGACTAGTAACATCCATGGCATAGAATTTGCTGATTTGACAGATAAACAAAATCCAAATTTCAAATATTCTATGATAACCCAAATTAATTTAAAGTGTTATATTTTTGTGCGACAATGTAATGCAAAACTCTTTGAGCAGAGAAAAATTTTTGGATGCTGTTGAAATACTAGTATGTTGCATAGTTTTCTACAACCTGAAGAGATTCGACAATTTCTGATACAGGCAAATCTATTACTAAATTCTATTAATGTAGGAATAAATATAACACAAGCCAAATTATTAGTACCGAATGGTGAAATTAGAAAACATTTATTTTGAAATTTCACAACCCACCATTAGATTTTCACTGAAGTACCCAATTTGCTAAGATCGTCGATGCTGAAATTGACTGCCCCAATCGCCGCCTTTCTTATATCCTGTTCATCCACTCTCGTTTGAAACGTTGGTGTTGTCATGTTAAACTTGTTGTGGACACTCCGGTAATGCTCAAAATCATAGTATACTGTTTCGTACCATACCAGCAAGACATCGTTGACATTGTCGTTGGCTAGCATGTAATCGGATGCAGCCAACTTGAGGCAGTAGTTAATGGCGTCAAGCGTCTTTGCCCTGACCCTCGACTCGGCAAATTTATCGTCTGCAGTCATCAATGATATAAACACGGATTGTAGGAACTTCTCGCTGGGGTCTTTGGCAACAAGAACATAAGTCTCCATCATTACTTGCATGACTTGTTCGACCACCAGTGGCGTTGGTCTACGAATAACCTCGCCGATTACGGCATTACCGCTATACTTTGCAAACGTATAGAAAAACCGGCCGGCCAACTTTGCATATAACACTCTTGTCGAATAGATGTATTTGGCCTTCAATATCCCCATTGCACTCATCTTGCTGAATATGCTGTGGCTGGCTCTCATGTGCTCTCTTTTTTTCATCATATAGGTCTCGACCACTGCAACAACTGGCTCGCTTTCTCTTTCGTTTTCACTTGCAATATACTGCGCGTATCCTTTGCCCTGATAGTCCTCCGCGTGGATGTACCGCAAGAACTTGTCCTCGCTATTGTCTCTAGCTGCTCTATTGCCAATATCAAACATATCAATGGGCTTCTCCGAATACAGTTTTTTGCGGTAGAAATAGGACATGGTTCGTTTCTGGTTGGGGATCGTGTACCCCAGTGTAGCAAAGGTATGTTGGAGGAACCTGTTCTTTATATGATG